TTACTTTTAATAATCATATAATATTATTAGGAGTGGACATATAACCATCCATTAATATTTCGGGAATATTATTTAATATTATATAATTTTAGTAAAATATTAAAATGTTATATTGAATATTCTGAGAATATATGCCTAAAATATTATTTAATATTAAATAATATTATGCGCTTATAGGGTAGGAGCTATGGTAGGAGCATGTTGGAGCACATTGGAGCTTATGACGCGCAAACCTGACATCACAGCTGATCACAGCAGCGGATCGCTTCTGATTGGTTACGCGGTTACGCGATACGCGGCAAATACGCCTCATAGGACTCCAGCATAAATATTATGGATCGAAAAAGTATTTCTTCGTTTCTCGTTCAATTCCTCTTCCTCATTTATGTCCCGTTCATCTAGGGATTAAAGAGAGAAGGAGAGAGCAAGCCTATCAATTTCCTTTCTCTTTCAAAGCAGGGAGTAGCTTGATGTCACTATTGTAGCCACGTGCGGACACCATTAAGCCTGTATCAGATTATCGAGGCTCGTGAGTTGCAGAATGCGAATTCAATCATCGAAACAAATTAAAACCTGAGATTATCTGATTGGCCGAATTCTAATCCTAGATCTTCCGTCAGTGTTCGTCATCAATCGTCACTTCGGTCAACTTCAGTCCGACAGCCGACTGACCTGTCCAACACAGGTTTTATTGTTAGATATACACATGACTACTTAAGGCAAACGTGCAGAGGGAACGTGAACTTCTCAAGTAACATCCCAGTACAGAGAACCTAAAAAAAAATTTCAGAAGCATGTCCACGTAAATGTGAATACCGCGGAAGTATCGTCGTGCGACTGGTATGTACGTTGTAGAAGCCCAACGATCGTATTTAACACGCACATCACTGTGTGACATCCCATTGTTCCCCTATCGTTCACCGAGTGCCAAATTTCACGCCTGTTGCGCGCTTTCACGGCGCTTTCGTTTCTCCCGCGAGACTGGACGATGAGTTCGTCCGGACGACTCGAAATGCGTGATCGTTAGGCGAAAAAGAGAGAAAAGAAACAGGAAATTGCAACAGGCTGTAAAAAGGAAAGAAAACGAAAGGAATATAACCTTTCAACGAGGTTAAAGTCCAGTCGGTGCGACCTACGACGCACCGTATTTATTATGTCTTATGTAATGAGTCACATGTTTACATAGTCAGGACGGTACCTCCAGTGAAAATCATATTTATACTAACGGTGGGTGTTACAATTTTTATCAAGCGAAACGCGAGGACCGATGTCTCCACCTGGAGTGCTGTGAAAACGAGATTTATTCTAACGATTAATCTCGGACAATCTATTAATTAATTCTTGTCAATATTTTCATCATCTTAAAGTGCCATTTAACATTGTCAGAATTATACCTTTGCTGTTTTCTCTAAAGCATATATTTATATCAAAAGAAACAGGTTGTACGTGTGTGAATTAGATTCACGTTGTAAATTCACGATAAGAGACAATAGACTTGTTCTTTATTGCTGCAGTGGACTGTACCAAACTACATTACAACTTTCCTTTTTGCTTTTGTCAAACATGTGCCTATTTCATTTCAAGTTCAAAGAATGTATATTGTGTGAATGGTATAAAGAAACAGACCTACTTATGGATGCCTTAGATAATAGATAACACAAGTCAACACAAATATTCTGTCTTTCTTAACATTTAATGAGTAACAAAGTAGGACAATTCTTGTTTTGTCAAATGGAAAGCAACTAATATAATGTTTTTGCTTCAATTTTCTAATGAGATTTATGAATATAAAATATTGCAACAAAAGCTTGCTTTTGAAACTTATCATGTTTTTTTTTATGAAACAACGAACAATTTGCAGATTCACAGTCAAATCATATTTATTCTGAATCATGTCGCAATACGAAGATGTCATTTTGGAAGATAAAGAAAAAGAAGAAGATTTACCGGTAAATTTAGGAGGAATGCGACATCGTATTCCATGGAGCGAACGTGTATTGTTAAATAGTGAGATACCAGGTTTATACGAAGTTAAAGAATTATTAGAGGATGATGACGCAAGTTGTCTGGGGGAAGAGGAGGATGGGGTTGGGTGTCCATTACCATCGACGCCAGAAGATGATCATCTTTTGGATTGTGAGGTACATTTATTGTTTCTTTTTGTCTTAAAATAATTTGTATATGGAGAACGATTTTGCTAAAGTATCTATAAGTATTTATAAATATTTATAAGTGTTGATAAGTATTTATAAGTATGTTTAAATATGTAGCTAGATACATGGAAAATTAAATTTCCTTCAGAATTATTTTGGTTCAGAATTATTTTGGTAAATTACTTTTAGACTATATCTATAAAAGTACATATATAAATTTTTAGATATTTTAACAAAATCGTTCTTTCCAATTTAATTAAAAATGAGTTAAACATCCATTACTTATATTATAGATGACTGAAGTATTAAAGGCTGGAGTACTGAGTGATGAAATTGATCTAGGTGCACTAGCACATAATGCAGCAGAGCAGGCTGAGGAATTTGTTCGAAAGGTAAAAGAATACTTAGATATTACTCAGATATTTATAATATCGTTGCATATGTAATGAAAGTATCTTTTCATCAGAGATAATAGTAGCTAACTGTAGCGAATTAATCTTGATTAAAATCTATATTATAATTTAACATTGTTAATCAGCAAATTACAAGTTTAAAGAAACTGGAGATTATTTATAGGTATGGGAGGCATCGTGGAAACAGTGTCACTTTAGGAATCTACCAAGATGGTTGCAAGATAACGATTTCTTGCATGCTGGTCACAGGCCGCCATTACCCTCATTTTATGCATGCTTCAAAAGCATTTTTCGAATTCATACAGAAACTGGCAATATCTGGACACATTTACTAGGTACACTGCTTTTTATTAGTATAGTATTAAATAACATTAAATATACTATCAATGTGCACTTTCTAAAAAAGACCATATACACAGCACATTCTTTTAAGTATATTCTGTGAATTTTGGTTACCAATTTTGTTCATAAAAATATTTTATTCTTTACAGGCTGTGTTGCCTTTATTGGTATAGCTATATTTTTTCTAACGCAACCTCCTATAGAAATTCAATTGGAGGAAAAATTGGTATTTGGTACCTTCTTTGCTGGTGCTATAATTTGCCTAGGAATGTCATTTGCCTTTCATACAGTTCATTGCCACAGCGAATGTGTGGGAAAGCTGTTTTCAAAGTTAGATTATTGTGGAATAGCTATGCTTATTATGGGTAGTTTTGTACCATGGCTTTATTATGGATTTTATTGCGACTATCAACCTAAGCTAATTTATCTGTCTGTGGTGGTTGTTCTTGGTATAACCAGTATTGTAGTTTCATTGTGGGAACGATTTGGTGAACCAAACTATCGTCCACTTCGAGCTGGAGTTTTTATGGGTTTTGGACTTAGCGGGGTAAGTTGTTTTTTTTTTAATTATTTATTGTTTAATTCAAAATTTATATTTTAATTCTATATCTATATCTTATGTTTTAATTCTGTGTTTTAATTATATATCTAATAATATTTTAACTCCATTGTTGTATATTTAGGTAATACCAGCTGTACATTACGCTGTCGCCGAAGGTTGGTTTAAGGCGATTAGCCAAGCATCTCTCGGATGGTTAATATTAATGGGATGTTTGTACATATTAGGCGCGTTATTTTATGCTTTAAGGGTACCTGAACGTTTTTTCCCAGGAAAATTCGATATTTGGGTAAGCATTATTAAAGTTATTGATTTAGTTAGTGATTCAAGTTCATGTTATTTTAACGATATCATACATTAAAATTTTAACATCTTAACTTTATAGTTTCAGAGTCATCAAATCTTCCATGTATTAGTAATTGCAGCTGCTTTTGTTCATTACCATGGCATTACAGAAATGGCAATGCATAGAATGACAATAGGCGACTGCACAAATCCATCGCAGGTGTTGGCTTTTTAAATCTGCGGGCACACACTTTCATCTCTTGTTGATAACTTTCATATGTCATTAACTTAATAAAAAAAGACTACAAAAATTCCTAAATCTTACGCCAGCATATTTGTGCTGTTGAAAGATATGATAAACGTAGGATGGATATATTTAATTTCAGATTCAATTTCAGATTTATGTTATAGAATATATTTTAGAATATGTTGCTTATTTATTTGATTGAATATATTTTATTAATTTTAAAGCTAGAAGTTACTTTTTGAAGATATTTATGTAACTGCAAGTTGTTTGATACTGTTGAATTTATTTCAACTTCCTTTAAAATCATTGTGATTTCGATATATATATATATATTGATTGAGATATTTATTTTTGCAATTGAATAAATAAGATATTGGTAAAAGATTATATGTAATGAAATTTCAGTTACATGCTTAATCATGATGAAATACAGCACTCAAGCTGAAGTTTTCTAAATCTCTTTGAATACGAGATATAAAAGTTTACATATCATTTAAAAAAATGCACTCTATCGAATTCAGATACTGTAAATGAAACGAAATTCCGACAGAAGTACACAATGTAAACTTAAATGGCCATATATTACTTATTTTCAGATTTTGAATCTTAAAAATTATATGAATATTTATATTATCTTTTTCCTTATATTCTCTCTTTATTTACGTACGTATATTATAGTTATAATGAAATAAGTAATAATTTAATTACAATTAAATTATTAATTATTATAGAAAAGATTAAAAACTATTCACTGTTTTTTGAATTACTAAAAATATATCTAAGCATTAGTTGTATTTGGGGGCTTTGATAAAAAAAAGATAATATTTGTTTTCTCATATAAACTTGATATAATACAGTGAGACAATAGGCAACGAAAACGAAATGCATATGTGACTAAGATTTAGGAAGCAGCCGTTGCTCTGTGAACGATTTTGTAGGACATAAGTACTATAAAATCTATAATATGTATATTTTGGACAAAGTCATTGTTACAATAATATATGGAAATTTGTTTAAATATATACTATCATTTTATATATATGTATATATTATGTGTGTGTGTGTGTATATATATATATATATATAAAATATGTGATGTACCAATCTAATTTTTTCAAGAGCATTTCTTATTTTCCAATTTGTATACTATATATATTCAAAGTTCTTGATATATAGAATTCTGATAATATCTATATACATCAGATGTATTTAAAAAAAATTTTGTATATATAAAAGAATTATGAAAGGAAGGAAGAAAGGTGATGTTTAATCTTTGAATTAAACATGATTGACTTATATTCTGTGGTCTAATCAATTGTTTAAGTATCACCTGCTATTCCTGCTATATATCCACTTGCTATATATAAATAATTCCTACTCTAATTTCTTCCCTAACGATTTTTATTCCTTTTTGAATTGCCAAATCTGTTAATGTTTATTTCTAGTTCTAAAAATTAGAAAAAGATAAACCAAAAGTAATGTTAAAGTACGCTAGGAGATAAATATACGCGACCTCGCCACTAGATAGACACGCTTCTCGTAAGAAAACATTCAGAAGTCCTATATATGTACAAGATGTGTATACAAATTATAAATTGGGACTTTTATCAATTTTTTAAATTTCTCAAGTTTTTTATAGAGTTGAAATACTTTAGAAGTTATACCCCTGGTGAAAATTTTTCTCTGAATTTTTCATATAATTTTTCAGAATTTCTATATAATTTTATGACTCATATTTTTTATACGAATTGGAACACTTCTCAGAAGTTTTCCATATGAGATATCGTAAGATTTCTAAGATTTTTCGTAAGTATAATTTCTGACAAAATGTTATAAAATCTAAAAAATTAAAAAATATTTTTTAAAAATTATGGGATGAGAAATCTCAAAATATTTCAGAATTCACATGTATGAAAAATTCTGAGAGAAGATGTGAACTTTCCGAATATTTCCGAGTAATCCTGAAAAATGTTCCAATTTGTATAAAAATTATAAGAATAATTTTCACTAGGGACATATGTGAAAAATTATGTGTTATATTAATGTGTAATTATGTGTAATTATGTGTTATATTTATGTGTTATATTATGTGTCACATATACATATGTGAATTCTGAAATATTCTAAGATTTCATTTCATAATTTCTAATGAAATCTTATGAAATCTGAAAATGTTTAAAGTATATATTTTCATTCACACACACACACACACACACACACACACACACACACACACACACACACACACACACACACACACACACACACACACACACACACACACACACACACACATGAAAAATTCTAAGAAAAGATGCAGACTCTTATCATTTTCTGAAGCGTTTCAATTCATATAAAAAAAATATGAGAAAAATTTTTATCAGGCAATTACAGAATATTATTTCGGGAAATGAGACTTCAAGCAAAACCATAGCGAGACCCACTCGGGCTTCCTCCTCTTCCGCGAAGGGGAACTCGCTCGCGCCCTTTCGCATATCTCGTCAGGCCGGTCGTATCGGGGGGGAGCGGAGGGAATGATATAAAAATGAAGCGATATCGAGACGTAGCGCACTCTACGACGAACGAAAGAGAGAGAAAGAGCGGGTGTTGAATTTTTCTCCTTCGCTTTCTCCCTCTGCCGCGCACCACGTCGCACGATTCACGACACACGAGTCGACGTGATTGGCGACTGGCGACCACCCTCACCGGAGTATAGTCTTCTATCGTCGACGAAGCTGACACATTCAGTTTACAGAGATCATCGGACGCACGAGGATATAAGAAGAAGACTGTCCTGGTCCCATTCGAAGATCAGCTGTCTTCCAACGCGGACTCAGTTCGAGGACCAGAAGTGATTAGAAGCAGAGGTCGAGAGATAGTCGAGAGCTTGATTATCGTCCAACTGTATCCAGACGGATCAGAAGCGCTAATATGTGTGTACGTACGTTGATCGGTAACGAGACGAGCGAGCCGATTGCGCCGACCACCGATTCGAAGCAATGCAGCAAGATGTTCCGTACCAAGGAGAAGTACATAAAGCTCTACGAGGAGATGATAGAGAAGGAGAAGCTCCAACGTCAACGAGAGCGAGCGGAGAACGCGCTCTTTCTACCCGACCTGGCCGATGATGTCCTGATCGTCAGCACTAATCACTACAGTCGGATACTGAAGAAGCTGTCTACGTATTACGAGGCCGTGAGCCGCTCCAAAGTATTTAAGTAAGTATAAAACGACCCTCCCTATGGTTTTCAACATAAAAACCGAGTTGAAGAAATGAAGAAATGATTTTTCTTATTCGAAGACCGTTTTTTCGTCAGATCTCTTTGACTCTCGTCTCATCTTTTGTGCTTCGCTTTCTTCTATCACAGGTTCTGCGACGATGAATCTGGATGATATGGAGGCACATGTGCCCTATAAGCGCATAATATTATTTAATATTAAATAATGTTTTAGGCATATTTTCAGAATATTAAATATAACATTTTAATAATATTTTACTAAAATTATATAATATTAAATAATATTCCTGAAATATTAATGGATGGTTATATGTCCACTCCTAATAATATTATATGATTATTAAAAGTAACATTT